GCAAACAGGGGGAATTATTATACAAAGCGCTGATTGAGATCGGCAGAAGGGACATTTTCGAAGAGCTGATGAACCACATCAATAGTTATTTTGGTAGCCTTGGTACATATGATTGAAGTAAAACACCTTTTTTTCTGACCATTAACCTAGCTAGATGTGTGATATACAAGAAATCACATTGTCACTTTGCTCACAGTTGTTAAATGTTTAAGTTTTAGTAGCCTTTTTATTATATTTGTCTCAAGGAACGTTTTGACTAAGTTTCAAGGCGATATATTGTTTACTTTCTTAATTACAGTGAACAAAAAATGTGACAAACATATGTGTTAATAACAAATTTTTGTTTATGTAAACGCACTTTTTGAGGCCTGTTGGTGTTTCTGGCTTGGGTCAAAACCACATTCTGAACCTTCAGTGTATAGATTACAAGCTCAGCTTAAACTGAGGCCGATGAAAAATCAGAATGCAGTTTAGACACCTCAAAATGAACATGCAATTCATTGCCGAGTGGACCGATGTCATATATTGAAGTTGGCCCAGTCGGAAAGAATCGTGAATTCATTTTGAGTTTTCATAAAACTGCACTAAATCTTTTTTCCCTCTACAGCCAAAAACAATATGTCAAAAAATGTGTCCGAGCAATTAAAATTGCAAAATTGGCGCGGCCTCAGCCATAATTTATACAAATTTGGTTTAATCCGAGCATAATGAAAAAGAGAAACAGATTTGAAGCAGTCCCTGGTATACGCCTACTAACACTTTAGAGAGTATTTAAAAACTAGCATACGTGTATATAGAAGTCCAAGTGTCTTTCCCATGGGATGTAGGGTTGCTAGGAAGCACAACTCCCTCCACCTTTACACAAAGAGTCCATGGCCTTTGTTATATCAAACTACTTTTTATATTGAAGAAGTGTCACATTACATTCCCCCAGGGTCTCCAAAAAAGCCACTACAAATGGGAGTAATAAGGCAGGGTGGCAAGGACCGTACTACTGAAGTTCTCTGGAATGTCATGACTACCCTACATGACACGAAGGGAGCGGATTATGTCCTCGAGCAGGTCTTAGCTTTCCTACAATCATGTGACGGAGAGCTTGAGGAAATAAAATCTGGGTATGTAACATTTGTTGTTTGCTTCAAGAGTCGGGAGGGTTTGAACAAACTCTGGAGTATGTACACGACTGGAGAACTCGCCAGGAAACTGACAGAGATTCTCATTACGGATGAACTGACAACAGAGGATAAGAGTGACTTGTCTATCCAGGCGAGTATTCCGGAAAGCAACTATGACCAGGCCTGCAGATTCTTTGACGAATCGGAAAAGGACCAGCAGAAAGGTAGCCTACTGCTGTAAAATTAAAACTCCAATCTAACTCCTTTTCTAACATTCTGTTTAAACCTTAACTCTTTTATTGTCGGAATTACTTTTAACAGATAAAGATGACTCAAGCGGCATGGAAGAGGTAAAGCATACACAACTTGGAGAAAGCAGCACAGCAACGACTGCTTACAGTAGCGATCCAACCAAATAGGCTGAAGACATATGTTAAGAGAAAGTGACGACAACGTTTATAACAACAGGTATAATCACAAATGGATGAATGGTTAGATAGTCCCAAAATATAACGTTGGTTAAGGCTGGCGATGAGACAGAGGAAGTGGTATATATTCCTCTTGAAAACAGGGAGGGCGATCCCATGAAATTGATGATGTACAAAATCCATTCTGTTTGGAAAACATTGCATATGGTTGGGCAATTAGCTCCAATCCCACTCTCAAAAATACTTGAACTTGACATGACAAAATTGTACACGATCATCAAGGTACGTGAATAGCAGTACTCACACACAAAAAATGTTATAGCTTTACTTACCACGGCCTCACTATTTATCGATACTTTCAAATGGTTGATTGAGGAGAAATCTACTTCCTCTACACACCATCGGGACAAAATATGGCTAGCCTTCACTCATACCCCCCCCCCCCTGCAAACAGAATGCTTCAGTTGGAAGGGCTTATCTCTTTGAGCTGTCACTGGATAGATTGTGCGTGACCTGTACTGTGTAGCATGCAGCACACAAACTCGTTACAGCTGTTTATCATAGTTGCGCGTGCAGGGGTAACTGGGGTGAAACATCTTGGGGGGGGGGCACCTGGGGGTGCACAATTTTTTCAAGGGGGCACTGAAAGTAATCAAACAGCGGCTTGCCTTTTTCGGTTTTGGACTTATAAAGGGCTATACTTGCATTTATATGGACGTATATGCTGAAGCTTATACTTTTTGAAACACAAACCGCAGGGAGTTCAGCTCCCAAAAATAAAAAAAATCTTACCAATAAAAATATAATTTTTTTTCTGTTGTGCTTTCCGGAAAAAGTTTTTTGGGAGTCCATATTTTTAGAAGTTAGGGACTCCATCATTTTGAAGCTACGGATGCAACATAGTTTGCACTCCAGCATTATAATTATGTCGAATTCCCGATAAGCATATGCGCGGGAGTTACTCAAGCTATCATATTAGTTTTGGAAGGCTGAAAACAGTGGATTTTGTTCATGTTCTTAATATTGGCGTACTACCTTGAAAAGCATAAGCACACTTCCAAGAATGAATGTAAAAATGAAATTATGAACAGCTACAAAAATCAGCTTATAAACTTATGAAGAAAATATACTCACGGGAAGAAATTTCTTGCGAATACCCGCTCATTAAAGGAGCCTATGGCATTCACTGTTTCAAAACTTACAACACATCAACTATCATTGCGGACGTAGTTTGCCCAACAGTTTTGGCATGACAAAAGTGTAAATACGTTGGCGTACGTGTACGCAATATAATATACAGGTTGATACATAAATAGTGATGATATTACTTGTATTGGAAACGAACAAAATGCATGAAATACAAATGTTCCTATATGCTTTTAAGCCATGGTTTATAAACTACTTAATTGTAATTTTGATCTTGTGATCATTAATGTGCAACTCTGTAAGATAAGGTCATCATTCGGGCACGGACTCCAAGTCAAGATAATCTGCTGACTTCTGGATAGTTTGGTTTCTGTTTCACGTTCGTTGAAATTGAACGAAATAAGACCTTTGCTCTTTATATAGAACATTGTAATAGTTCCTGACACTTCTCCAACCAGTGACTGTGCTTTACAATAATAATGAAACACCTGATAATAATGATTTAAATGACATTTCCACTGTTTGGCAGACGTAAGTTGATTTAGTTTTAATATGGTTAACTGTGAGAGGAGATTTTGTTGGAAATTTGTACGTTATTTGTATTATTTGTTATTAATTGGTGCAGAAACATTTCTGACGGATTTTTGCTTTTTTTTCAGATATTTGAGGCAGAGTTTAAGACGTCAGGGATTATTATTTGACATTGTGTACTTTGTATGATTATTATCGTGTAATAAATCATTGCATGCAATGACTTGAGTCAATCAAGGAGAAATCTTTGAGGTTAGATGATTGTTGTGTTATGCCTCCATTCCTCCCTCAGTGATGAACCAATCTCCCGCCTCTGAAATCTACAGCTGGGTCACCACTTGGGCTTTGTAATCAGGCATGCAGACTTCATAATGAGGATATCAAAAGAAATTCCTTAGAAAATCAACCAAATCACAAATTTACTTCATGCAATTAAAATATGATTACACAGCTAAATCGCTGATGTATCTAGAAGCATTTATTGTTGGGGCATTAAGAAAGGGGTCACCGATAGACCAGTTGTTGTCAATTCCTTATGTGGAGGGGCGGGGCTAGATCGCATTTTATGGGAGGGGTGCAGTGTTTCTTTTCTTTCTTTGTGATTATAAAGTGGCATCGGGGATGATGAATAGACTACTATTTCGTATTAAAACAGTCGTCTTCACTTGTTCCCTGGTGGATTTATCTTAAAAGGCATTTCTAGTGGCCCCCACTTCAGTCTGCAAGACAGCTTCTTTGATTACTTCAGGACAACTTCAAATAAGTTGAAGTTGTCTTGAATTAATCATTGTTTGATTACATTGTTTTGTTGTGGACCTGTTGTGTTTTGCTGTTGTGGGCATAGTGACACCACGGTGACTCATTTGAAAACAAAAAGCCTTTTAAAAATATTTTTCTAGCACCCAATGAACACCAAAAAATAGAACTTTACCTATTAACACCCCCTCTTCAATTCATCCCCTTTCATGAATTCATGATAATTGTCTAGGCCCCACTACCAATAAACAACTCTACTTTAAGAACAAAACGCACTTTTTGTTTCACTTCCCTTCGATATTCCCTAAAAAATGTTTTTTTAAATTAAATTAAGCTGTCTACATTGTTTATGGGTTGGAGGTGGGCAGGCATGGATTCGGGGGGGGGGGGTTCAAAACGCCCCCCCCCCCTGCTCTGTCATTTTTTTTCTTCATAGAAACTCATATAATTAATGCTACCCCCCCCCCCCCCCCCCCCCCCACCCCCCCGCTGTGACACCCCAAATAAATTATACTGGTAATAATATACTGGTCAAATTCCTGCATCCGCCCCTGGTGGGGTTATCAGTGATGGACAAGTTAATTTCGCCGCACTAATCGAAAGCCCGCCCTCTATGGCTACATTTATTAAATAGAGGAATATCAAATATTAAATATTAAATATTTAATCAAGAAATATTATTAAAAATAGAGGAATATAGAAGTCGCGGCACTCTAAAAATTTCTAAATGGGCGTTGCGGGGGGGGGGGGAGGGGCAGTTATCGCTTGATGAAAAAAAATTGCACCTGTACAAATTTGCATATACATTCCACAAGGGCTATACCAAATTAATGAAGGGAACTCAGTTCAAAATAAAATTTCTTTTTAGCAAACTATTGAATTTTAAGACGATCTTTTCCGAGATACAGGTCTCCAATATTGTTTTATATAAAAATTGTGAGAATTGAAAAAGATGGTATGCAAACATTGTGAATTAGAATAAAAACGACTTTTCCCCAAGCTAAAAAACCTGAAACTACCCCAGCACAAAATGTGCCTGGTAGTTTTCATTGGTGAGTAAGGCGCCGCAGAAATAACTGGTTCGCACTTCCCAATGCTTTTTGAAATCATTGCAATAGTACAGGGACCAGGGATTTGTTCACAAACCAATCTCACGTGGTTCGTTGCGCGTTCTTAAATTGGCGGGGCACGACGTGGAGGACTTGCGAAAAAACGTCACAACAGTGAAAGTAAGTTTGCCAATTTTGGCCTGAAAAGTTAACCATTTGGCTTTGGAAAGCTAGGTGGAAGTGATTGACCTACTGTAGATTCTTCTGAAGTTATAATTTTTTTTTGCGTATGGAGAACTTTTCCACCCATATGTGCAGAAAATCAAAGCCCTGCATGCTCTGCGGTCACGCACAACGGTGCATTTACCCGGCGACCTGCACAACCCACTGCGTAGACCGGACTATACATAACTCATAAGCAGCCGGTCGATCCTCAGAACAAAAGCGATGTCTGATTTGACAAGAAAAGTGCCCCTTGTTCTTCTCAACCAATCAAAACGTTTGTTACATGAATGGAATGCTTATTGTGTTATTTTTCAGAAGCCGTGTGAGCAGAGGCGTAGCCAGTCATTTTTTCAGTGGGGGGCGCGGGGGGGGGGGGCTGGGACATTTCATGGGGGGGCGTCATGTTGATCAATGATAATTTTTTTAGAAACTCAAAATCTCAGTGGAGGGGGGGGGGCGAATGGGGGGGGCGACAAGGTTTTATGGGGGGCTGTTGCCCCCCCCCCCCCCCCCGGATTCACACTTGTGTGACTGGGTTCACACTTGTGCTGTTCGAAAAAGTAAACCCGCACCCTCAAAAATCGGGGAATTGTGCTGTGACCTCCATAGGAAACCCAAAATTTCCACTGAGTTACCCATTTTTCAATTAAAAAGTGCACATAATTATTCGCCTTTAATCATGAAGAAGTTATATTCATGTGAAAGAGGAAAATCTGTATTTTGTGATGCGATACAAGGAAGTAAGTTTAACAAACATACTTTCTGGATATTAATGAATTAGTTTGCTCAGAGCGCCCAGTCTTCCCACGTAGACAGAGCTTCACTAGTGGCGAGTGAGCAAATGCTCCATTGTTCTCCATATGGGTGTCACAGTGGGGGGGGGGGGGGGGGAGGGGGGGGTTGACTTATATTTTAGGAATTTGTATGACAATTTTTTTGGGGGGGGGGCAGAGCTAGCTGGGGGGGGTGGTTGTCCCCCACACCCCCCCCCCCCCCTGGATCCACGCCTGCATTTACAATGCATGCTGGGCATGGATAAAAACATGAATTTTAATCAGACTGTCTTTTTCATTGACATTCAAATTTGGCAGTTGGAGTATATTTAGCCGGCACCGGCTTTCTTTAAGCGAACGATATTTTGCCGAATAGGCACTGAACATCATGCGCAGTGACATATAACATAGTACCTTCGCTTGTACCCCCACCCCCCTTCCTGCAAACAGAACGCTTGTCAGGGCTGACGTCATTTGAGCTCTCATTGGATAGATTTGCGTGACCTGTGACGTACATGTAGAACGCGTCACACAAACTAACTTCCGGTGCCCATCATGCGTAGTGCGTGCTAGCTGCATGTGAAGGTTAGTCCCATAAATGTGACAGTAATACTGGACTTCCTACTCTGATTAATAGGGAGGTAGACCAGTACACCGTCACATTTATGGGACTAATAAATTACAAAGTCTAAATGTGAACAATAGAAACTAGACAAAGTTTTACAATGTCAGGTACATGTACCAAGTGTGGCCTTTATTTACGGAGGTAGTCCGGTAAATTGGCCACATTTATGGGGCCAGACATTTGAGCAGCTATGAGGGATGACACCTTCTTGAATGTTTTGTTTATTATTTTGTGGAAAGAGGGCATGATGTCTTTGATTTATTGGGGAAATTATGGAGTCGATGACGAAGACAACCAGAAAACAGGCTCAAAAACCAAGGTGGTCACAGTGAAACTCGATGCAATGAAGGCTCGCTGCTGAATATGCTGATTGGCTGGATAAAAATTGATATTTTTTTAAAGATGTTATGAGCCAATCAGTATCGGGCTTTCATTCTGTCTGGCTTGCACACGTGTTGTGAGAAGTACAACGTGCACTTCGTCTCTGATTGCAAAAAATGGGGAAAGTCACATTTTCTTTGAAAGTGGGTTTCAAAATTACAACAAATGTGAGTAATACGAAGACAAAAGACTGCCCTGCAAAAGTCACTTTGGTACTGAACAGTCATTGCAAAAGTCAGTTTTAATTAACCGGAACATAATGAAAAGTTTTGGACATTTGCTCATCCCAACACTGCGTGTACAGGCTCAGTATATGTGCGCGTGCGTTGTTGAGAGACCAAAACAGGCACATCTTTAAAACCGGGCAACGTACAAATCTGGGGTGATCAGAACATGAAAGAAGACATCTTCAGCTTTCTATAGGGATGAAATTTGTCAATGACAGTGCTCGGCACATAACGACCATTTTAGTTTGAAAAAACACATCCACGCTTTGTGCTCCTATTCAAAAGTGCACATCCACGAAGCGTAAACTAGTTTTTTAGCACGCATGTCAGGGTGTTTTTTACCACAGCGTCAACACGGAAAGTTCAACCTTGGGATGACGACATTCATAAAGTTGATAAACTTCTCTAAATGCTGATATAAGAAACATGCTAATTGGACAATAAATTCCAACTACCATTTTGGCTTGAAAAAAAATAGCCCGTCAGTGTTTTGATTAGTTAGCCCATGCATGGTTAGCCCACAGTTAGCCACCCACACGCACGCGCGCGTGTGGATATTGTATATAAATGTGCGTGCCTATTGTGTAACGTGTGTTCTGTAGAGTGTGTATGCAGCGCCCCGCGTATTTGAGCTTATGTCCGTTTGCCTATATCAACTTTCGATTATGTTGTTAAAAATAGAGGTGTCCTGAAGATAACGATTACCCAAGTCTCAGTACACAATATTAGCCCTATCGGAGTTACAACTGCGTGTTTGCACATCACATGATAACAATGGTCTGTGGATAAACAAAGTGGAAAGACTTCCATGCCCCACCTGGACATCACTTGACACCCTGTGCACAAACCCTATGAGACTGTTTTGAAGAATTCCAAGTGTTTTCTCAGTAAATGCTTCAATGTTTTTCCTGCAAACTTTGACTTTTTAGGACGTGTTATTGGAAAAATGAGTGATGTCCATATATATGTACCGGTATGTATGATGGAATTCTTTCCTAGTTATAGTAAAAAAAAAGAAGATGAAAACCCTTGTTGGCAGAAAAGTTGGAGTATACACATGATCAATGCAAAACATCTTACACCATGGTGCCGTTAACAAACAAGCAACATTTCGCATCTACTTCAAAACAAAAACTTTCTTTGATTTCTGTGGTACACCGCTATGATTTTGCATGCGTATGGTCAACTGTTCATCCATAGACCCTAATCGTTGTCATGTGATGTGCGCACATGCAGTTGTACGAAGGACATTTACTAGGTCAGGGAGCCAGACGATGCTGTAACGATAGCAATTGCCACAACAGTAGCCCCTCCATTATTTTTAACATTTGGACATGATCTGGCGGTAGTACTTACATGGCGTTTCAAATAATTAACAACCTAACAATTTGCCAACAAAAACATCAGATTTTACCCTCAAAACGGCCACAAAATTACTACATATGCCACCTGAGATACAATTACATTGCGAATATCGTGCAGACGCCATTTTCAAAATTGTCCTGCTGTCTTTTCCAATTTTAGTATGGTGACAGGCGTCCAACATGACCTGATGAAGCAGACACAGTACTTTTGGTCAATGCTGGATGAACTTGCAGAGACCGATGAAGATGCATACAGGAAGTTCATGGCCACAAACCTCCAAAGAGGACAGCAAGAATTGACACCGGCCAAGCCATGGATGTGTGTCAAGACCCGTATCATGGTAGGTTCATATAGGTCCAAAATATCAACAATTATCCAGGTTGGTAGGCAAAAAATTATTTTTGTTTGTAACTTTCTTTTTTATGTTTGCTTGTCAGTCTGTTATACTTTGACTTTGTTTATTCTAGGGTACATTGCACCTTCACCACAGACACACAATCAAGGAATCATTGGAAAGAGGACACATTGGCATTTCACATGATCTTGAACTTATTTCAAATATTTATTAGATTTTTTATAATTTACATTTACATCTGGGTTTCCTTGTTTTGATACACCCTGTATTGAGCAGAGCAACACGAACAGCATCAAAGTTTCAACTATCAATTCTGAGACAATGGGAATTTGTCCCATCCAATAATGTATACTGTGGTGACTAGCAAGCTCAGACTCTAAGGCCGTTGGATTGATTTGGTTAGACTTACATGTAGCAGGCGTGGCACATTGACAAGCACCTGTTGTGTGTTGTTTAATTGAGCAGTTGAGCAGGGTGTTAGCCAAAGTACTGGAACTGGTCATAAGGTTAAGGTGTTACACCAAGAATTAACTAATATCCCATGTCTGGTTTTGCCGTACTGAATAATCCAGTACTGTACAGCCAAGCCACTACTTCAGTAGACCTCATGCTGAGCGGCCATCTTAGAGGACAATGCAAATGTACTGCTTGGATAGGCATGACAACTAGACCTCTTTATGTGGCCAATCTGCCTGTACACCATTCAACAACATTTGTAGGCCTCTGTAGGTTTTGTTTTTTAAAATGTATTTTTTTTTGTATAGGAAGAATTGACTGTTCTAGTCACAGACAATACGAGTTACGTCTGCCACTACCAGAGATTATACAAGAAGACGTATCCACAGCCAATTCAGCAGACAACGTCATCACCCACTGTTGCCATGCCAACCAGGATGGTAAGTTAATACTTTCACACTTTTTATATCTGAATGCTGCAGATGAAGTTGCACATGTAGCCAGTCTCTGGCAAGTTGGATCAAGGACCAATGGTTAACTAGTGGTTAGTTTGTGCCGTACCTAGCGCATGCGCAGTGAAGATAACGTAGTGAACGTATCAATGACTCTAGTCGAACTAAGTCATGTCAACGACCGTGAGAAAATGGCGGTTGCACAATTTTTCAACACTTGACGTTTCTGTTTATATGTGCACAAATTGTAGTAATTGTGTACTTGATACAAAAGTGACAGAATCGTAAAGTTACACGGAAAAACTATGACATGAAAATGAAATTATCAGCTCTCATAGTTTCCATTTTCCCGCCATTTTTGTTGATAGTAGGTCCCCTCTGCACTATGCTATGAAAATTGCTATTGATAACCAGTTATATCATGGCACGACCAGCCGCAGTAGGTTGGTCCTGAATAGTGGACTAGACTAGTCGTCCACTAGTGCGTTTGACCAGAGTTAGTCGAACTATGGTTAACTACATGTATGGTCAAACTTGCCTCTTGCAGAGAATATTTTTCTGATTTTAATCGAAAAACCGACTTTTGGAATTTTCCAACAAAATCTCCAATTTGTTAACAATTTGTTCCCACAAAATTTGATTTGTTTTACGATTTTTCCACAATATGTGACTTTATTTAAATTATAATTTCAAAGAAAAGTCGACGAAAAAGTCAATGACAATGGCACATAAAAATTATCGCGAGCGTAGTTTTACTCTCTTTCACCAGTCGTAAATGGAGTGTTTCTACGGTAGAAACACCCAGGTCAACACTGATCGGAACCCTTTCCCGGCTGGATTAAAGGTGAAATATTGACGTTTGACATGGAAAAATCACTGCGTCAGTGCGTTACACTAAGTGTGGAGCGTGCTTGCACAATGTAATATGTCTTCATGCCACTTGATTGAGCCGCATGAGATCCCAACCTCACCATGTGTAAAACTGGGAACCGACCTCTTCATGCCACTTGATTGAGCCACATGAGATCCCAACCTAACCATGGGTAAAACTGGGAACCAACCTCTTCATGCCACTTGATTGAGCCTCATGAGATCCCAACCTCACCATGGGTAAAACTGGCAACCAACCTCGTCATGCCACTTGATTGAGCCTCATGAGATCCCAACCTCACCATGGGTAAAAGTGGGAACCGACCTCTTCATGCCACTTGATTGAGCCACATGAGATCCCAACCTCACCATGGGTAAAACTGGGAACCGACCTCTTCATGCCATTTGATTGAGCCTCATGAGATCCCAACCTCACCATGGGTAAAACTGGGAACCGACCTCTTCATGCCACTTGATTGAGCCTCATGAGATCCCAACCTCACAATGGGTAAAACTGGGAACCGACCTCTTCATGCCACTTGATTGAACCTCATGAGATCCCAACCTCACCATGGGTAAAACTGGGGACCGACCTCTTCATGCCACTTGATTGAACCTCATGAGATCCCAACCTCACAATGGGTAAAACTGGGAACCGACCTCTTCATGCCACTTGATTGAGCCTCATGAGATCCCAACCTCACCATGGGTAAAACTGGGAACCGACCTCTTCATGCCACTTGATTGAGCCACATGAGATCCCAACCTCACCATGGGTAAAACTGGGAACCAGCCTCTTCAATGCCCGGAAACGAACCATCGGGCCATGTCTTGCACTTTCCTGAGGTGACTGATATCTTTAATTTGGTCTTTACGCATCCAAGGAAAAGATCAGATGACTTCCTAGTACCACTGGAGGCCATTGCTTTAAGAGATCAGTAATTTTTAAACTTCAGAGATTGCGACATGATACCAAGGCCATTGTGATGCGCCCCCTCTTTAGTTTCGGTCAAGTTGTTAGAATCAAGAGAGTTATTTTCATCATAAACAACTTCTTTATCTGAAACTAACTTCTCTTAAATCTAACAATAATATATTTTGAAAAGTATCTTTCACAAAAAATAAAACTGTCCTTTATCCATGAATCCTTTGTTGCCTTTAAATGTCGCTTAATAGTTTGGTAAGTTCAATCAAACGTGTGTAACTACACAATAGCAAAAAAAAAAAAAAGACTGCTCACAAAATTGTTATAATCTGCCTTGCAGTGAAAAATATTTGGCCTATTATCTTTTCAGTGTTGTTTTGCACTTAAAGGGATGTTTCTCCCAACAATTTAAGAGCTAGCTAACAGCATGCAGTTTTCATCTTTCTTCAGATCTAATGTCCAACTTTTGGTTTCCAGTATTGTGTCCTTACACATACATGTGTACATGTATGGTTAGTGGATAGGCTGTGAGTGATATGAATGCTATACACAGTGGTATTGTGACTGTAAATGGATTAGGAACTTATCCACGGCTGCCCTGGAAATGCTTCACCTTATTTCTATACGGAAACATTTCCAAAATAAACTGTTTAAGTTGTAATTTTGAGGCTTCATGCGGCTATATGCTTATGCACTTTTTTAAAGGGTGTCCATGGATAATTTGAAGTGTTTTGTTTTGTTTATTTTGGTTGTCATAGTAGGGGCTAATATTAGTTCTTTTAGATTACAGACTACAGACAATGGCAGCCTTTTTAGACAGATTGATAATATGCAGACGGTTAAAATTCATTGCTTGGCATGGGGTCTTGGATCTTGGATAGGTTGGCTTGCTTTTAAGAGTGTCCATGGATAATTTGAAGTGTTTTGTTTTGTTGATTTTGGTTGTCATAGTAGGGGCTAATATTAGTTGTTTTAGATTACAGACTACAGACAATGGCAGCCTATTTAGACTGATTGATAATATGCAGACGGTTAAAATTCATTGCTTGGCATGGGGTCTTGGATCTTGCATAGGTTGGCTTGCTTTTAAGAGTGTCCATGGATAATTTGAAGTGTTTTGTTTTGTTGATTTTGGTTGTCATACTAGGGGCTAATATTAGTTGTTTTAGATTACAGACTACAGACAATGGCGGCCTATTTAGACTGATTGATAATATGCAGACAGTTAAATTTCATTGCTTGGCATGGGGTCTTGGATCTTGGATAGGTTGGCTTGCTTTTAAGAGTGTCCATGGATAATTTGAAGTGTTTTGTTATTTTAGTTACGTCTCACTGGTTCAAAGTATGAATTGTAGGGATCTGTTTTGTTATTCTGTGTGTTTGTTTATTTTGGGTTTCCTAGGGGCTGATATCAGTTCATATAGATTACAGACTACAGACAATGGTGGCTTATAAAGAGATGCAGGATGATTGATGATGCAGACGGTTCAAATGTCATTGCTGAGTGGTTTTTGGCACGCTATGGGGTCTTGGATTTTTGAAACGTTCACCTCCAAATACTCCTGTATTTTAGCTGCTTTAACTCGCTGTGCTGGCCTTGCATTGAGTAAACGTAAAATGTCCTCACTGAGACTTTCAGGTCCAACCCAACTGGACAAGCTTAGTCTTGAAGCAATAACTTGTACCTGGGACAGGTATTGGTATATATCCATTGGACTGGTTCAGGAGTTACATATCAAATAGAAGGCAGTTCATTTCTTACAATTCTTGCAATCCCCTGAGCAGCTTATGACAGTGTACATGTGGAATCCCTGGAGGCAGTTTTCTCGGTCACCTGTTGTCTATTATTTAAATGAAGAGTGCTGTTGTTTTGACGATGGTTTTTACAATTTTTAAAATGTTAAGAATTACTATGCGATGATATCTAGGGCTATATTTTAATTGTTGTTTTGACCTTTTTCCCCCCATTTGGCGTTGGAACTTTGTCAAGGTCAATTATGTCAGAATGTACCAACATTTATATCAAAGTTTATGTTAAATGAGACTTTAAGGGTTAGCATGGTGGGCATGATCAATGAATGGGAGGTTGCAGTAACACCATGTGATGTCTTTGTGAGTTGTGTAGTTCTAAGAAGATCGAACCAGTTTGTTTAGGCCTAACTTGCCATTTTGAACAGCATGCTCTGTTTGTCATCAGGAGACTGCTGACGAACAGAGCGTACTGTTTGAAATGTCGAGTTTAACCAACTGGTTCTTCTCAGAACCACACAACTCACGAAAGATATCATTCATCACACTGGTGTTACTGCAAACCTCCCATTCATTGAAAGTTATGTTTCTTCGTTCCTGTTCGTTATTACAATATTGAAACAGCAAAAAAACTTAATGGTAACAAAATAGACCCGAAAAGATAAAATCCTCTTGAATGAAACTAACAAAATACTGACGTACAATCACGTAATGTTATCCTATCACTTTTGGACGGCTTTACAGGGTCACTGCTTTTTAAGCATACGTGCATTCTGGTCGGGGTACAACTTGCCATGTGACCTGCCAATGGAACCACGTCACATGACACAGTCCCTGGGAATCAAACTTATGTGTCATCCACCAAGAGTGTTCTTGGTGTCACCTACATGTAGAACGATCCAACATCCCTGGGAGTGACGTACGTGCCGTTTAAATTGATGGGTTCCTGGTACATGTATCACGTGACTGGTGAACTTTGCAATATCCCTGGGAATGAGCTCACGTGCCGTTTAAATTGATGGGTTCCCGGTGTCATGTGACTGGTGAACTTTGCAATATCCCTAGGTATGAGCTCACGTGCCGTTGATGTGCTGAATGGATTCCTTAATTGAGTCAAGTACATTTGTGTAATTGTTGACCGATGCCACATCCAGGGAGTGAGAGAATGCGCCGTCCAATTGGGGACCACGGTCCCTGGGTATCACGCAATAGGTTGATAATAAGATTCTTTTAAATTAACAATGACCTAGAAATATCTGTCAGTTTCATTGGTGGATATTGAGTGCACATGTACACAAAGAGATCACATCCAAAGAGATAATGTGCAAATGTCGATACCAAAGCCGTCCTATATAAGATTTTGCATGCGAGGTTTTCATCAGATTGAGGACATCGCATTCAGCCTTTGCATGCCTTTGCTGGGAGTGTGTGGCCTAGTGGTTAG